GTTTTTTAGGGTTTTTTTTTTTTTTTTTTTTCTGTCTACTGAGATGCTTAAATATCTTTTCCCAGTGTATTAATACAGTGAATCACATTTGATTTTTGAATATGAATCAACCCTACCTTTTGGGCTAAGCCCACTTGGTCAGGATGTATTGTCCTTTTATGTATTATTGGATTCAATTTCCCAGTATGTTGTTAAGGAGTTTCTTAAAGTGTTAGTCTCTAGTATTTTTTTTCTGGTTGTATCTTTGCTTTAGTGTAATGTTGATGTGAAGTAATGAGTTGGGAAAAACTCTTTTTCAGATTTTTGGCAGTTTAGAAATTGGTATTATGCCTTCCTAAGTGTTGGCTGATCCATCAATGAAGCCATCTGGGCCTGGAAGATTTCTAACTGCAAATTCAATTTCTTTAAGCAGTATAGAGATTTTTAGGTTTCTTGTACTTTGGTAATGTATCTTACAGAGAATTTGCCTGTTTTGTCTCACTTGTCAAATATTAGCATAAAGTTTCTTCTAGTGCTGGCAAAATTTTCAAAATGTTTTGTGTTATGTACTTTTGATTAATTGACCCTATTATTATGAAATAACCACTTTTGTACCTAATATTTTTTTCTGAAGTTTGACTGACATTAAAATACTCAATTCAACAGTCTTTTGGATAGTTCTAACAGTATATTTTCCTCACTTTCTTTTTTACTTTGAACCTATTTGTAGCTTTATATTTAAAATGTCTTTTTTGAAGGCAACATATAATAGGATCTTCACTTTTTATTCAGTCTGTTTCTGCATTTTTATTGGGGTGTCAGACAATTTTTATTTAATATGATTAGCATTATGGTTATGTTTATAAGACTGTGATTTTGCAGTTTGTTTTCAATTTGTCTCATCAGTTATTTGTAGTGTTTTCTGCTGCCTGTTCTATTGAGTAGCTTTTCATCTATCACCTTTGTTAGCTTACTGGCTGTGACCAGGCCCTAGCAGAGAATATTATTTAATTTACTATTAAGAGGAGGCCCAGGAATCAGTATTTGTTTGAACAGACCCCTAGATCTGTGAATCACTGAAGTTAAACTTTGTGGTTGCTTTATTAGCTATGTGACTTTGTTTTTGTTTGTTTGTTTTGAGACAGGGTCTCAGTATGTAGTTGAGACTGATTTGGAACTCACTATGTAGCCCAGGCTAGTCTCAAACTCAGCGATCCTCCTGCCTCAGCCTCCCGAGTGCTGGGATTACAGGCGTGTGCCACCACGCCCGGCTAGCTATGTGACTTTGAACAAGTTGACCTCTCTTAATTTTCCCCTCTATGAATTGGGTATAGTAAAACCTAACTATCTACAGATTAAAATGTTTTAAATGCTTTGAACAGTGTTATGTTCACGATTCAATCCTCAGAAGGTGTAAAAAGACTCAGTTTATACTGTTTTTCTATTGTTTTGATTTTTTAAGTTGTATTTATATTAAATAGATAATATAAGCAAAATAATTTTCAAAAACTACTCAGAATGAAAATGGTTTATTCCTCACAACTACTGAAAACTCTTTAAAAATCTAGTTTAAGTTGTTATATTTTACATTTTCTTAAAAGTTACCGTGTTCTCTTTGTGATTTGATTTTTCTCAGTTATGTAAGGATTTTTCAGCTTGACTTAAGAACAGGAATATGGCTTATGAAATCAGTTTGATGCACCTGTCTTTGTATGCCTTCCCCACAGGTTTTGATTCCCATCATGGCCATCACTCAATTTCGGTTATTTAAAGTTTGTACCTGCCTAGCAGCAGTATTCTCATTTCTAAAGAGATTAATATGCAGGTAAATAAATTTTATTTCCTCATTGGTTTTAGGGTCTTTGAAAACTTCAAAAAGGCAAAAGAGATTTTTTTATACTAAATCCTTGTTTATAATATTCATTCATTAATAGTTTTTAAAAATGTTTTTTCTCTAGTTCCTGTTTAGAAAGTAGAAGTTCATTTGTTTTCCTTCTGTCACATGACATGCTAAATACTATAGAATTTCAGTAATAAACAAACTGGTTTTCATTATAACCTTTCCAGAGTTTTTATGTGTCATTTCACTACTGGAATATTTTAAGGTGGTCACATGAAATTAGGCATATATATCTGTGTATATGAATGTTATCTTTATTTTAAAAACTTCAAAAGAAGCCTTATAAAACAGATTCATTGTTTCTTAAGGGACATTCCAGAATACTTGGGACACCCAGAGCAGGTAATTTACACGGCTTGAGTGGGTTTTCTGTAGATTCCAGATCCTTCTGCTTTGTTAGATCACCGTGCCCTAGAGCTGTGACTTCTAACCTGTGTGCTGAGGTGCCTCAGGGCTTCTCATGACATTTTTAGGGCTGTCACAGATACTTTGAATTTCCCAGTGAAGCACAGTGACAGTCAACATCTGTTGAACATTGCAGACTCCTAACTCAAGATATTTCATGTTTTTAACACTAGATCCTGCAGTATTCCTTATCATGAATGCTTCTGAATGCTTGAGATAAGTTTTGGCTTACTTGTATTTTTATGACATTTTTTTGTAAAGTTAGGTTTTAGGTTATAATTAAAAGCAAATACTGTATCAAAATTAATGTAGAACAGAAAATGAGGATGGCAGTCTCCAGTCTGATTTCACAGCATGAGAAGTGAGGCATCCAACAGACACACATGGTAGTAGTAAGAAATTTTCCTTTTCATTCATAAAAGAAATATTATATTTTCTTTAAACTTATTGTATATATTTTTTTCAAGTGCTAGTAAGCTTACTTAATTTAAAGCATATGTAAGTATTAAGTGGTTTGGATCCAACTACTTAATCTGTGGAATTGTTAGGTATTTCTTTTGTCCTGGTTTACTGTGGAAAAAAAAATTTCTGACACACAAAGAATAAAGTATTATAAAAGAGGGAGTACATAGTAATCACTTGATTTAGAGGTTGCATCCAACTATTCTGTTCCCAGCCTGTTGTCCAGTGCATAGTTATATGGCCACCTTGCCACATGGGAAGGCTAGAAAATGTAATCCCTGGCTAAATGGCCATTTGATAGCTCTTGAAACTTTGACATTTGTCATTGAGTTTATTGCTAGAAGTAGACTGGTCTAGGATTAAAAAAAAAAAATCTAGGGTATTGCAGTAGGAACACCTGGATAAACTAGAGATGACCATTGGAAGAAAATTCAAGAAAGAAATGGAAAATATAAGTGGTTGACTGGCAATTACTTAAGAGGATAGGATTTGTAAAGTACAGAAAATGGTGAACTAAGTGTTGAAATCATCAGAAAATGAAGAGAAATGGCTAGAAGTTCACTGGATAAAGTAGGATAAAAATGAGTTCCAATTGCCAGAAAGACAAAGATGAAAAGAAACACTGTGTTAATAGTAGTAATGAACTGTAGAAGTTTACTTTTGCATCTGAATTTTCTAAAATTCTGGTCATTGTGGATTAGTTTTAGAATAAGAAATTTTACTTGAGGGCCGGGGATTTAGTTCAGTGGTTCCGCCACCTGCCTTGCAAGTACAAGGTCCTGAGTTTGATTCCCAGTACCCCCCGCCAAACTTTTTTTTACTTGATTTAAAAATATTAAAGACTTTCCCGTTGTCAGTATAAATTTTTGTTGTGTGTGTAAATAAGATTGATCAGTTAGGATCACCTTGTATATGTAAGGTGTCAAAAAGAACCTAGAGCATGTGTTATAAAATGCCAGTCTTATGTTAAAATTTTGTAACAAGACTAATGTTTCTCTCTCCTTTAAACAAATAAAATATAACTTCTAAACTTTTAGAAAACATAATTGTCTTTACCAGTTAGCTCTAAGTAGATGCTTTTTGGATTACATAAAGGGAAGGAGAATCATTTGCAATAGGCTACCATTTCTGAAATGTCTTACTCTGTAGCAGACACTGTCTAGGTACTTTACATTTCTTAAACCCTTACAGCCACCTTTCAAAATAAGGTTTGAATACTGGTGTTTTGTAGATGGGAATATTAAAGTTGAGAGGTTAGGTAATTCTGACCAGACTTGGAAGAATTAACATTGAATACCATGGTTGACATAGATTCTGTAATCCATGTTCTTAACAATTGAGTGTGGTACATCCTGATTAATGTAGTACTTTTCCTCCTAATCCATAAAAGTCAATTGCAGTTCAGTTCAACCCAGTGATTTTCAACCTTTTAAAAATAGCTTAACAGCTGGGTTTAGTAAGAAACAGTAAGTAAAGCAGGAGAAGCTGAGATACCAGAGCTCCCCGAAGAGTCCATAGCACTCCAAGGAATATGATTTGAAACTACTTTGCATTCTTGTTTCTGACTTTGTATTTCTCTTGAGTTCATCTGTAATTCTAAGCCTTAACTCAGGAAGCAGCTATACCTAAGACTTTAAAGATATTCACAGGATGTTGGATTCATGCCTTTTCATTATAGTGAAGCAGTTGTTAATTACTAGAATCAATAATGATTTGTAAACCTGTAAACACTGACCAAAAAGCTTTTTATTCATGCTTATTTTGATTGTTCTTGAAATAAATTATTTCATGTTTGTTTTAGATCTGGCAGAGGAAGGAAATTAAGTGGAGACCAAATTACATTGCCAACTACTGTTGATTATTCATCAGTTCCTAAGCAGGTAATTTTTTTTGTTTTGAAAAATTGAATATGTGTTTCAGAACAGTATTTTTCAAACTGGATTGCATATTATTAGTAACAAAATTAATTTGGTAGTCAGGACCTCTGTTGCTACATTTATATATTTCAGTTGTAAAATTTAGATTATCTTGACTCTGCTGATATTTTCTATTTTTCCCTGTGGTTCCAAGTGTTTGCTATTCTGTTTGGAGCATTTTTATATTTAAAAGTTTTA